GCCGTGGCCCTCCTAGGTGCCGGCCGCCATGGCACGGGCGTCCGGCGCGGGGGAAATCTAGTCCCGGGCTTTCTTGCGGCCTAGCTTGGTTCTGTCTCCTCCCCCCGCGGCCGCGGCCCCTGCCGGTACCCCAGCCCCACTCCGGGCCTCCGTGTCTCTCCTGTGATCGCGCTGACACGGCCCGGGGGTTAGAATGGAACAAACTGAAGGTAAAGTGTGTGTGTGTGTGTGTGTGTGTGTGTGTGTGCGCCCGCGCGCGTGTCGTGAGGAAAGGCACGGTGGGGAGGTGGCGACCTAGGGATGGGGCGAGGGTGAAGGGGTGACCCAGGGACAGAGGAAGAGCGGGTGGCCCGAAAGGTTGGAGGGCAGTCTGGAAGGGAAAGCAGATGGCAAGGTGGAGGTGTGGAGGGAATTGGGAGGTGGGGCAGGGGAAGCCGGACTGGGATGAGAGATGTAGTGGTGCCGAGCTGGGAATTGGGAGTAGAGGTGGGATGGAGGCGGGGATGAGGATGGGAACGGGGGCAGGGGGCTGGGAAAAGAGTTAGATTTGGAGAAGATTAAGGGACCTGGGCGACTGCGAATTGGGGTGGCCCGGGGGTGGGGTGTGGGAACCGGGAAACTGGTGAGGAGGTTAGAATTTGATGGGGGAAACGAGGTATCTTTGGGGAATCAACGGAGAAATGAGGGAATGAAAGTGGAGGGAAAGATAGGTTAGAAAAAAGGGATGAGAAATGACTGAGGCAGGATGCAATGGGAGGATAGGAAATAGACGCAGGAAAGTGGGAGACCTAGAATGGGTTAGGGAAGGCAATGAATTGAATGTTGAATGGGAGAGAAGGATAGACCGAGCGTCAGAGTGGGAGGAAAAGCAGGCGATGGAGGTTGTTAAAGTGTGAGAAGGAATGTCTTTTGTTCCGTATTTGTGTTCTTGCCTTTTATTTCAAGGGTAGAGATAGAGAAGCTAGTGGTTATGGTTGTGATTGTTGTGAAGTGGGGGAAGTGTGGGTGTTACCGTTTTGAGGGGAGAGGAGATGTGTGTGTGTTATGATAGGGAGACAGACATGGCCATAATTTGACGGTTTTGGTGAGGGAGTGAGGACTATTCCGATGTAAAGGGGGCAGGGGCAGCCATGTTTGCTGCCAGACACTGCAGTGTAAATAAATTCCTTTTCCTTTCCGACATCGGTGTGAATCTGGAAGGGACCAGCTTACATTGTTAACCCCCCCTTCTTTCTATTGATGAACTCTTTTCCCTTACCTCTTGGGTCATTTACAATTATTCATAACCGCCAAAGGAGGTAGTGATGTTTTCCATCTTGTGTGTTTTGCTGTTCTCCTCTTTTTCCCCTCTTCTTGTTGCAAACAAGGCATACTGATGAGCTGCACTGTAAAATTTAACCCTTTTTGTAAATTTAAAACTAGATTTTTTTTAAACCAGCTGAAGGAATTGTTCCTACTCTCATCTTTCAAACGTGGTCGTGAAAAGTCTCTCAAATATTGATTGGTTTCAAAAGACTCAGAAGCAGTCAACATGTTTTCTGCAATTCTTTAAGTAAACAAGGAAATTGCATCGCTTATTTTACTTGGGGCTGTGCTCTTGGCAAAGCACTGTGAGGGTGAGGAGTAGGAAGATCTGCCTGTAGTAGATTATCTGTTTGGTGTATTTTGAATGTTGGAAAAATTAGAAATGTGTGCCATGTAGCTCTTGCTTGTAGGTGGTGAGTATGTTAAGGATAATGCTTTATTTGTTTATTTTAATAAACTCTGTCCCCCACTTCTTCCCTTTGCTTTCACCTAGCTAGCTCAATAGTCTCCCAGTGCCAGTTCAGCACAGTTCAATGATGTACGAAGTGGGCGTACAGTTCTTAAAGCTTCATTGGGTTGCCAGTTTTTGTTTTTCTGTTTGTTTTTTATCAGGTCACTCAGAGGAAAGCTACAGAGTAACTACTTTAATGTATTCAAATGTAACTACTTGTATGGTTCAAAAGTTACTATTTTAAAGGCTGATAGCTTTACAGTAAGTGAATAGGTATTAGAGTCCATTTTATTTTCATATTGGAAAGTTAAAAATGTATGCTCGTTTGTTTTTGTTTTATAATTGTAATGGGGTAATCCAAACTTTAACCCATCCCATTGATATCAAAACTGTTCTCAAATACCAGGAAGTCTTGTTGGAATTGTAATATGGTAGACTCAGTTCAGTTGTACCACATAGATTTCATCTGTCCTAATGGTAATGTCTTTTCTGTTATAGAGAATATTAGGTTGTGTTCTTGGTTTGTTGGAAAAATTAAATTGAATATTGATAAAGTGCTACTTTCTGAGAGTATTCTTAAGATAAAGACTAAACTTATGTAACTTGGAGTACTTTGACCTAATAATATTTAGCCTGCATTTAAAAAATTAATTAGTTGATTAATTTAATTGTACCAGGGATTGAACTCAGGACCTTGCACTTTCCAGGCAGGCATGGTCCTGCTGAGCTACATCCTCCACCTAGTGTGATTCTGTGAGAACAACTTCCATTAAAAAAGGGGGTGGCATTCTGTATGCTTTATTGGAATTTATATTTATGGAGATTTCTTATATTTCCCATTGAATTGCATGTTGTTTGTAACTAATTGGTAAATTATATGTGAACTACCAGTGCTATAATTTTTTTGAAAACAAGCGGTCATTGTATATTAAAATAGAAAAAGTCATTTATTTTTATTTTTTAATTTTTTTGGGGGTGCCGGGGATTGAACTCGGGTCCTTGTGCTTGCAAGGCAGGCAGCAGAACCACTGAGCTAAATCCCTGGCCCTAAAATACAAAAAATCATGTTGAAAGTTGGAATGAGCTGTCATGAGTGTTCTGATTCCCTGGACAGGTCTCTACTTAATGAAGAAAGCTGGTTAGACACCTACAAGCCAAACTGTCCTCTGATTACCACTTCTGTTACTTGTGATAATTTCCATTTTTAACTGTATATTCTTTAACTGATCAGATTGAATGAGTTTTTTACAAAGGAAATTGTCAGCAAGATTGATGATCAACTGGGCTGGGTATTTAGTTTTGTGGTGCCATCGCCTGCTTCCCAAGAGCAAAGGACTGGAGTTCAATCCCTGGTACCAAAAAAAAAAGAAAAAAAAAAAAAGATTGATGATCACCTGTCAAATCTGGTTCTACAAACAGTAGTTTCTAGAGTTCATAATAATATTGATAATAATCACATTTATAGCTGCTTACATTTGCTGTTCTCTTTACAGTAAGCTATGCTGGGTGTCTTACATGTATGGTTTTCTCTTATCTTCTCAACAGTTTTATCAGTAATTTTAAATCCTTTTTACAGTTGGAGAAGTTGAGTTTAAGTAACACCATGCTTTGTGTTATTTAGCGTTTAAATAGTATCTGAACCCAGGACTTTGCTACTTATGGAACCTGGGTGAATAAATTTACCTTCCTCTCTCTACCCCACTTCTTCCCCCCATCCCCCGCCAGGATTGTACATACTTTTTCAGTTTCTTTTCTTTCTTTCTTTTTAAAAAGGTACTAGGAATTGAACCCAGGGCCTCATATATACTAGGAAAGTGCTCTACCGCTGAGCTGTACCCTTAGCCCTTTTAGTTTCCTTTAAATAAAATGTGTGCATGTGTGTTTGTGTGTATCTTAAAATTCACATGAATGGAGTCATACTATCTGCCTTTTGCTTTTTTATTTTAATAGTTTGCCCATGACATCTTTTTTTTTATTAGCACATGGGACCTACAGCTTATTTTAAAGAGTCATATAGTATTTTTGTTGTTTGGAATAATAACATTTAGGTTAGCAGGTTTTTGCTAGTTTAAGTATTAGAGTTGCTCCTGAATTACATTCCAGACAGGTTGTTTAAATTGAAGAGAGTCCAACTATCTTATTTTACAAGAGAAAACTGAGTCCATCTGGTCATGGTGGTACAACGCCTCTAATTCCAGCACTCAGGAGACTGAGGCAGGAGGATCCCTGAGTTCGAGGGCGAGCTGGTCTACCTAGTGAGTTTGAAGCCAAATAAAATAGGGAGAGAAATAAAAGAGGGAGAGAAAACTGAGTTCTGTAGAAGTTAAGCCCAAGTTTTTGGTGACAGACCTGTTACTTGGGTCTTTTATAGCACATCACATTACTTTTTTTACTGTGAAAATATTTTGAGCTACCTATGAATGCTGAAGGTGAGGGAGAGTACTCCAGGTTAGGGATGTTTAGAGTATTGAGTTAGATGGATCACTACAGATCTTTACAGATTTTTTTTTTTTTTTTTTTTTGGTATTTTGCTCATCATGATGTACATACAGCATATGAACATAATATTTTTAAATACCTAAATCAGTTGGCCCAAGTTATTTTGAAGTTTGTGTTTTGTGTAATGAAGTGATTTTTTGGCAGAACTTTTCCTGTTTTAATATTGTCAATGAAATAAGATAGCAATAAAAAAAAACACCCAACAGAGATCCAGTCATGCTTCTGGAAAGAAAATTTGACATTTGTAAATTTTTAAAATGACCTAAATATATCTAATTGAAAACAAAAATTTTAAAAAGTCCTCATAGGCACTGTTGATTATTTTTAAATTATTTGTGCCTATCAAGAAAATAGGTTACTATGGATACATATTCATTGGGTTCTTTCAAAACAAAAATATAGTCTTTGTTGTAGACATTGAAGAAATTAAAATTCTTGAAGCTTTAAAACAATTTAGAATTTGATATCGCCACAAAATCTGTTTTCAGTATGCTATTTTTAGTTTTACTTTAGAAAAAAGCAGTCTATTATTATTATCATTTATTTTATTTTATTTTATTTTTTTGGTACCGGGAATTGAACTCGGGATCTTGTGCTTGTGAGGCAGGTGGCAGAACCCCAAAGCTAAATCCCTGACCCCTGGTCTATTATTTTTTGAAGGAGCAACTAAGATGACATCTTTGTTAGTAAACTACATATCCAGCATTTGAGTTTTTAAGTAAATGGTAAGCTTTATTTCTGTAGTCTAATCTTTTTATAAATATTAATAAGAATAAACTTAAGAATTATACTAAAACTACCTAACATTTTTAAAAAGAGTTTACAGTTTTGTTTTCATGTTTATTGTTGACCTTAGTAAGTCCTTTGCGGCTGGGGGATTTAGCTCAGCAGTTCCTCTGACTTTCTCGCAAGTGCAAGGTCCTGAGTTGGATAAAAAAAAAAAAAAAAAAAAAA